CATGAGAGGGTTCAGGTCTAAGCAGAACATTAGTTTAAACAGAACATCACCTTGGTATTTGCTGCATTTGATGCTACATTGTGCAGTTAACTTTGAACATTCAAATTGAATGTCTTGACAAAAAGCTGTGGACAGGATCACAAGACACTGCAACACATTTGCAAGGACATCTGAAAACGTTATATTAGTTCTGTTTTCTCAGTCCAGAACATTTTCCTCTCACTCTCTGTCCACAGAGCTGCCACAGTCAGAGACTACTCTTACCTCTCTCACCTCTCTTGTGGATCTCTCTATCCTGAGGAAACATGGTCTTTCATTTCATTGTTATGTTGATGATTGTCAGATTTACCTGCCTTTGAAACCAGCACATGCTTGCTCCATTCACTCTTTTCTAAAATGTCTGGATGACATTAAGGCATGGATGACTTCAAATTTCTTAAGTTTTAACGATCAGAAGACTGAAATAATTATTTATCCCTAGCTCAACCGCCGCCTCTGATCTTGTCAACCTGGACTCTCTTCAACCATATCTGAAGCAGTCTGGTTAAACTCTCAGGATGGTTTTAGACTCTGACTTCAAGTTTGACAAAGGGTATGTTTACATGGACATAAGTAACCGGATCAAATGGCCGGTCGGAATAAAAGTGTGTCATGTAAACGCTCCGTTCGGGTTATTTTTTGTGTATTCGGCGCGATCCGTTATAATTTCTGATCAGAACGAAACGGGTGGTTTACGCCGATCCGAAACCCGATCGGTGCGCATGTAAACGCTTGATCTGTTCGTTTTTATCTGATGGTGAAAAACTGACCTGACTGCGCATGTGCGACTTTGCCATTTCCGCCTGGCTAACGCTAATAATATTAGCATGTCAGGGAAGTAAAACTGGTCGGTGAGTGACACAACATTTCTACTAGAAACTTTTAAAGAGCTCAAAATGATTTCTATCACCTGTAGCTCAGTCAGGGAGTGCAATAACGTCTCCACCATCATTAAAACCTGTCGCGGGTCCATTTTGGGTGCTCAGGTTTGTTTACGTTCACCCGGAAGTAGAACTTCTTCTTCTGTGTTTTTTTGAAGGAGAGTTTACCACTCTGCGCATGTCAGTACTGCTGTTCTGAACAAAGCCCGCTGCATGTAAACGCTCGTCAAGAACAGATTGTGCCCATGTAAACAACACATTTGAATTATTCAAACAGAACACATTTCAATCCGGTCAGAGAATTCTGCGCATGTAAACATAGCTAAACAAATCAACTCTGTTCTGCAGAAAAGCTTCTTCCACTTAAAACAGGTAGCTAAGCTCAAGCCAGTGTTGTCCAGAACCGACCTTGAGGAACTAGTCCATGCCTTTATCATGACCCGACTGGACTACTGTAATGCACTCTATGCTGGGGTCAGCCAGGCCTCCATCTTACGTTGTTCAGAATGCTGCTGCTTGGCTCTTAACAGGAACTTGTAGGTCTGAACACATCACATCAGTTCTGTCCTCCCTTCACTGGCTCCCTGTGCGTACTAGAATAGACTTTAAAATTCTTCTGTTGACCTTCAAGTGCCGAGAGGAAACCATATGTTTCCTCTCGGCAGTGGTGTGGACTTGAGTCACATGACTTGAACTCGAGTCAGACTCGAGTCATTAATATTATGACTTTAGACTTGACTCGAAAAAATGTTCAGAGACTTATGACTTGACTTGGACTGTGAACTGTTTACTTGAAAAGACTTGAAATTTTACCCATAATCTAAAGGTTAAACACTGCAGTGAAGTTATCTCTAGGTTGGATATTCAAGCTCCGTGGATTCAGCGGTGTCTTTGTCTCATTCAATCCAATGCAGGCAGCCTGATTTCAGTCAGCTGTGTTTAGTCTGCCCCCTCCTCCGAGGCACAATGGTTCACTTAGGGACTGTCAATAAGCTACAAAATCAAGTATTCTTGAGAAAAAAATTGCTTTCATGTCACGTGACCCACTGACAAAAAACAGTCCAGCAATACAGCTAAGTCACTGTCACTACCTGGACATTGCTGAAGGATGGAACGCCCTCTTGTTCTGGACAATGAACATGCAAACTCTTCCTTCACTGTTTCATGTGGCCACCAGAGTTTTGGCAGTGCCTGCATGTAGCGCTGCAGCGGAGCCAGTTTTCAGTTATGGCAGCATTATTCTATGACCTCATCGTGCACAAATGACTGACAGACTTTTGGCCAGTTTGGTGTTTTGTAAATGCAGAATAGCTAAGTGAAATAACTTAAAGTTCACATTCCTGTTCATTGTTCAGGTCATATATATGTTTTGTTTCTCTCCATCACTCACACGTGGACACATACAAACATCTGTTCACTGAGTGACCAGATGAAAGAGGAGAGGAAATAAAGTTACTGTGATGGTTCTTTGTAATGTACTGTGCAAATATCAGCACTTTTTGTGGACATGAAGTTCTGCTTTTGCATTTTTCACTGGATGTTTATTTTGGAAGATTATAGTTTAAAGGAAGATTATTCGTGCAGCTAAGTTTAATTGACCTCTGCATTATAAAAGTATAATTTTAGAATTACTTTTAACACTTTGTAAGTTCAGTTGCACATGATTCATCACGATTTGAGATAAACACAGATTTAAAAAAGAACACACAGTTTATTCATTCATTCAACCTTTTTTATAACTTTTATTTATACAGGTTCCTAACTCTATTATTCACATTTAACTATAAATGCAACATGATTTAAAATTTACTTGGGACGACTCGGGACTTGAGGATAAAGACTCGAGACTTGCATAACAATGACTTGGTCCCACCTCTGCCTCTCGGGCCCTGAGATCAGCCGATCAGCTGCGTTTCACTGTTCCAAAAACAAGACTGAAGCTCAGAGGTGATCGGGTATTATCAGTCATGGGCCCAAAACTTTGGACCCCACCCCCCCCCCCCCCCCCCAACATGAGGCAGGTCACCTCCCTTCCTCAGTTCAAATCCCTGCTATAAACTCATCTGTTGTTTCTGTCATTTCACACAGTGTGAGTTGATTTATTATTTTTTGATTTGTGTTCCTATGTTTTTACTGCTTTTATTTAATTTTTCAACATTATCATTAGTGTGTGGTATGTTTTCATTAATTTACTCTCATTGATGTTATTGTTAAGCACTTTGGTAACAGCTTCTGTTTTAAATGTGCTCTCTAAATAAAGTTGACTTGACTTGACTCGTTGACCTGTTTCGAGGCAGGAAGCTTCACAGAATCAGAACCTGCACTAAATTGTTCCATAACAACATTTTCCTTCAAGCTGTAAGAGTCAATAATGTGCACATGCACAGATACCGTGCTAATCCTCTTCCTTAAATTAGAACTTAAATCAGTCTTGGCACTCACAATTAACCTTGAACAATAAAACATTTTAATTGCAGCTAATTATATATTGTTAATGCCTTAAAATTTTAAAACTGTATATTTTACCCAAGTGCCAGGTTGTTTTCAAGCTGTGTTTTTTTGCTGCTGCTGTTTGTGTAAACTGTTGTATGAATGTCCAACTGCATACCCTGCGTGTAGCCAAGTGACTAATAAAATGGTATTATTTTAATGTGGAATAAACCTGGTCATTACATTTATGATTAAATATGATTATTTTTCATCCATTTCAAGTTTTGTTTTAATTTTGGAATGGTTGCAATATTTTTTCACTGTTATATTTTGATGGATTCATGTGTGTAGGCGTGCACACACGTTGGTTTGGTCACATGTATTTGCGGACATGTTATGTGTGGATGTATAGTGACTGATACACCTACAGTGGGATTTTCAAAATTCCATGTTATCTTTGTTTTGAAGTGAATTTTCTTTTTGATTGTAGATTAAATTAATTTTTTTATTGTTGTTGTTTTATTCTATTTCATTTCTATCCTTACTGGTGTATTTTTGTCATTACATGGACATATTTCTCTTGTATTTTAGGACAATGGTTAATCTTCTCCAACCTTAAGTTCATTACAGCTGAATTATTTTCCCTCCAATCAAATCAAACCATCTCAGTGTAACATTGTGTTCAGGTCCTCAAGTCAACCAGTAATTATACCTCAGGTGATAATAGCTTCAAACTCCATGAGGCTGTTCTCATTATGCTGTCTAAGTCTGTTACCATTCAAAGAGGACAGATAATTATGTCTTTTACAAATGAACAAGATGATTAAATACAAAAATAAGTTGACTTGCTTAAATTAAGGGTTTATTATATTAAAACATTAATAATTACATGTTAATGGATCACTAGTCAAAACAAAATCAGTAATGGACCATAAATGTGATTAAAAAAACAAACATTGGCTTTAAATAATTTTTCACTTTTTCCCCACCAGAATCAGGGCCTACACTGTACCTAGATAAAAAAAGACAAAAAAAGCTAACCTCTCCTCTCTCTCATGAACAGTATTTTTTGGGTTGCACTGGTATTTTTTTAATTAAGCAACAGACCTTAATGTATTTGATCGGCTGTGACCTGCCTAATGTAAGATTTTTTTTTTTGTTAGTTTATGGGCGGCTTTGACTGAGTGTTTAGAACAGTTGTCCTCCAGTGCAAGAGTTGGGGGTTCGAAACCACCAACAGTCACATGTCCAAGTGTCCCTGGGCAAGACACTGAACCCCTCATTGCCTCCGATGTGTGTCCCATCAGTGTATGAATGTGATAAAGTACTGATTATTCTTTGTATAGATCTAGTAGAGTGCTGTATGAATGGACAATATTGGGCTCAATATGAGGGCACAGATTATGTTGTAAAGCTTTTTAAGTATCTCAATAAGATAGAAAGGTGATATATAAATAGTCCATTTACCATTTATTTAGAGCAATTCTGTCTGTCTGTCCGTCCGTCTGTCTCCATATTTTGACCTCTGTATGACCCTTGGTTTTGTCTGTTTTAAATATGACGCCCTTGCTGTCTTCCTAGATTTTGTAATTGTGATAAAACACTGTTAAACCATGTCTCAATGTTTGTTTCTTGTTGTTGTTGTTTCAGATTTACAACAGAAGTTGGAACTGATGCTTAAGGAAAAGAGTCAGGCACTTTCTGACCTGGAGTCAGTTAGACAACAGCTCAGAGACACCATGGATGAAGTAAGTTTAAGCATATTCTTCTTGTCATGTCGCTAACACTCAACACAAGTGTAAATTAGAAGTGATCAGATTTTGTAGATAAAAATATTTTGGACACAATAACAAGCTATTTTCCACATATCAAGATTCTTTCCATCTGCACACTCCTGCCATAGCACAACTCTATTTTCTTTCTGTTTTCCTTTCCTCTTCTTCTTTCTTTATTTGAAAATGGGTTCATCCAGAGATGTTAAATCACAATAAACTCTGGCTTCATTGAACCTCTAACTAAAGAAAGAATCACCTGAAGACACCCTGATTATCTTAACTCATATGATTTTATTTAATCTGATTTGAAAAAGAAAACATAGAGTTGAAATAACCAATGTTTGCATATTTGTGTTACAACCGTTTTCCCCTTCTGCATTACATTTCTAATGTGTGTCTTCTTTAATTTGCAGTTAATGAAAGAAAAACACGATAACACTGTTTTAATTGCTGAAGGACTGCACCAAAAGAAGCTCCTGGAAAAATACACCAGAGGTTAGCAAGATGCCCATACTGCATGGGTCCTGTGCTCTTCATTTATGAATAATAAAAAAACACTATTCATGTGGAAACAGAGGAAAACCCTTTCAAATATGGGATGCTTAATAATGGCTTCCTCAGAATGTAAAGGTGATGCATTTTGACATTCATACAAACTGTAACCTTCCATCCATCCATCCATCCAATATCTTTACTCGCTTCTTCCTTTCTGGGTCACTGGTGCCCATGTCCAGCTATCACTGTGCAAGAGACAGAGGACACCTGGACAGGTCTCCAGTCCATCACAGGGACACATAGAGATAATTTAGAGTTACCAATCAGTCTAACATGCATGTTTTTGGTCTGTGGGAGGAAACCAGAGCACCTGGAGAAAATCCATGCATGCACGGAGAGAACATGAGAACAGAAAGCTCCATGGTCGGGATTTGATTTGAAAGCTTCTTGCTGAGAGGCAGTAGTTCCACCAACTGCACCACCATGGTGCCAGCTGTGAGTCAAATGTTTCTGACGGCTTCGTTCACAAAGACCCCACAACTGGAACTGAGCCACAGAGCGCCCACAGTTTGTGCTTTTCACTCCAAACTGGGAAGTTAGTCTTATACATGGGGCCACTTATACTGCATGTTGTATTAATGTGACAGTTTTAGTCAAAGACTTGTCTAAGAACCGCAGGATGTTTTCCAGGGGAAAGTTCCCCTGCATGTAGAGTGATAAAGGACAAAAGGGTAAAAATTTTGCACAATCTTTTTCTCAAAGTATGTATTGTCAATTATTCTAAACTTCTACCACAACAAATCTTAATCAGAATCCATAAAACAAATTGAATTATAGCCATGTCTTTAACTTTCTGTTGGTTAGGAGTGACTCTTAGCTACTACCACTACTCTAGCTCAATACCTGTACAGATTGACTGAGTTATAGCCATTTTTGATTTCTAAGGTTTATTATGTATGGCAGATTAAAATAAGTTGACTCCAAATGTTAATCAGTTGGAAATATACAGAACATTCGTATTATTATTGTTTTTTGAGAGATTAATTCAAATCTGTCCAGAGGTTCATAAGATATTTTGCTAACAGACAAACACCTACACAAACACGGGAAAAGCAGTAACTCCAAACGTTTGCCTTCAGCAGCAGGCATTATTATCATTATTATCAGGGCGCCAGATATGTAGTGAACATTTATTAATGTTTGCTTGATATTAGAGGGTCAGCTGATTAAAATACACATTTGCTGCTTTATGGTTATATTGGAACAGAATCCATATTTCCCCTTTCCTTGAGTACACTAATCTGCATTTAATACTTCCTCACCTGTTACGTTACAATTAAATAAAATTTAAAATATCCCCAAATAATTTTGTAGAAAATTTAACCTTTTATTTAAAGAAAAACACATTCTAACAAAGAATTTGCAGCCCAATAAATCCCTTCAAGTTGCACCTGACTGATGAAAGTTATCACTGTTTTCATGTAAAAAAAAAAAAAAAAACAGTTTCTCAGTTTGCTGTGGAGGAATACGAAGTTTTGGAGGACACCTTAAACCAGGAGAAAAACCTGAGGACAGAAGCAGAAACATTTGCCAGAGCAGTAAGTTTTCATGTAATTATTTTGATGCACTTTGTAAATAACAACACCTCCTGACTGTCATATTATCTTCATTATTGCCTTTCAGATGATGGTTGAGCAAAAGAAATTGAAGAGACAGAGTGAAATGCTGACGCAAAGCTGCTCGTCCAGTCAAGCCGCAATGGAAGCCCTCAGTCAGTTGGCTGATCTGACCAGTGAGCTGGAGGCTCAGAGGCTGGAGCACCAGAACCAGGTCGTGTACGCAGCTATAACACAAACTAAACCCCCTGTCACTAAACACCTTGTCATCAAACACTCTGTCAATAAACAGACTGTCACTAAACACTCTGTCATTAAACCCCCTGTCACTAAACACCCTGTCACTAAACACCCTGTCACTAAACACCCTGTCACTAAACAGTCTGTCACTAAACAGTCTGTCACTAAACAATCTGTCATTAAACACCCTGTCACTAAAAAACCTGTCACTAAACAACCTGTCACTAAACACCCAGTCACAAGACACCCTGTCACTAAACACCCTGTCACTAAAC